TGCGTCACTTTTATATTCAAGGGAACATCTAAATTAGCTTTATTAAATGACCATAAGACATTCAGCAGTTATTCTGCCATTTCTTGATTCAAGTAATTTTTTTGTCTTAGGTTCACCGTTAGCTCAAAAGTACTCCTACGAAGGAGGCTACCTCTTTCAGTTTTCAAAAAAACAGAATCAGGTAATTTAGATTTAAGATCAACCTTCTTCTGTTTACCATGGTTGCATTGGTTTCTGCGTGGTGGCCTCCCGCTATTTTCCTTTTTTTCACAGGCCTGATCTTAATTCTCGTTTAAATATTTGACTTCAAGAAGTCCTGGTAATGAAATTTTGGTATTGCATCCCCAATTTTCTGTAAATTTGTAAATTTAAGCATTCTTATATTCTGTAATCTCAAACGTTGTAGTAATTTCATGAGAGTTTTTACTCGGATTCATTCGTTGCTCACTTTCAATTTTTTTTTCGATTATTTTGTCTGTATTAAGTGAATATGTAACTTGGCGTTTGGAAGCATTGCTTCTCTCCGCTTTTTGTTAAGTTTCATCCCTTATTCTCTGTTTAAGAGACCCAATTGAGCTGATTTTATATCACGTCTGCTGGATTTTCACTTGACTTTACGAAGTCTTAAATGTACATAAGCATTTAGTGGTATGTCACTGGATAACCACATTCTCCAAAGCGACCAGCAGTTTCATTTCATTATCTGATTGTTTAATTGTGTATTTAGTCACTTTTGTAAGCTATGATTTGAATAAAAAAAGAGGACACACAGGACTCCGTTAGTTTTCAGAGGCTTGTTAGTTCTTTAATCTCGTCTATCCACCTGTCTGCTTCGCCAAACACATTGCGAATTTTTCTGTTAAATCTGCATTGAAATGCCATTGAAATGCATCCACTTTTGGGTCCTCGATGTCATTTTCGCATATATGCAGCATCACATTTGTGTAGCTTCCTTGTAAACAAGGACGAAAATATCAGCACATATTTTAAGCCCTATCAATTCAGTTCGAATCAAATAGGTGTTTATTTCGTTTATTTTAATGTGTTCATTTTTGTACCGTTGGTATAATTATGGAGTACTTAAACAGTTGTAAAGCAGGATGCTCCTTCAATTTATTAATTATTGGTATTTGTGATACAAGCTAACTTAGCTGAAAGTATGTTTTGCGCCTAGCGACCACATGTGTTTGTTTTACCATCAGGCGCACTGACATCTTATAAGGACCGCCTTCTCTATTTTTTTTCTTAAGAGCTTAGAAATTTCTGAAAGCTCTTGAGTGAAACAGCATCCATTACTACGTGTTGGACATGTTGTCGTTTCTCTTGTCAGGCAACTAGACTTTTGTTGAATGTTTTCGATTCCTTACACAAATTCAGCTGTGCACAAGGAGTAAAAGTACTAAAGCTTTGCTCGTTAATAACATCAAAATTAACTATTATGTATTATCCAATCAATTGTGAAATCTGGCAAAAAATACTAAAGTGTCTTGCAAACTGAAAATAGAGGCAAACTGTGGGTTATTAGTGTACCTGCATTGGTTTTCGATAGGACGCTTTAGAAGTTGGGATGATTTCTGAGACGTGAATGTACAGTCGTCTGTTCTGTTGTCGAGCATTTTTTCAACTGTTTGGCATAAGCAACCATTACCTGCTCCGGGTTCTATTTACAGCTCCGCTTTCGCAAGCCACAAACATCCACTTCGGTCTTGTAACTGCCACGCACTTGTTTACTTGTAATTAGTGAAATTAACTGGGTCCTAGTTGCTACATCAAGGTTTGAATTGCCGGCCTCATTCATCTGTCTAATTTTCCGAGTGCTATAACTCGTAGGAAAATGTTTTGTAAACCAAATTGGCTTACTATCGCAGGTCAAAATTTGGTCATTTCGATGAGGTGGAAATCGTAGTCCTGGAAGGATGTGCTGCACCTATGTCATCAAGAAATACATTCTTCTAATTAACGAAAAGCTCTTTTTGACAGTTAAATTTTCCCAAAATTGTATTTATCCTAAATATTTTGTGTTGTGTGGTGGTTATCACAACAAACGCACCTACTTCTGAGTGCCTCCTAGTCTTTACCCAATTTCCGTAGTTTATTCGATTTGGTACAAGTTTCGGAAGAAAGTCTACTTCTGCGCTGGTGGTGTGGGCTTAATAAGCTCTAATTCGACCCTGAACTAGCTTTCCTGCCATCTTTCCGAACGTGAACTTTCAGTTCTTCTTTTGTGAATAACCATTTTTGGATAATCTCATTTTTCCAAATTTGCTAAAGACACTTCTTTGCTTTATTACAGAATCCGAGCAGCCGACTTTGCTTTGATAAACCTAAATGCCCACTGCGTGCATTTTCAGATGGTCATCTTTGCCTTCACCACAAAGTTTCAAAGGTGGGCTTTTGTAAGAATTTACATTGACTTATGATTAACTGAAACAATTACCCCGTAGTGTCGGCTCCGATAAAGTTATTCTTCTTCACACTCCAACGCTACCATGTGATCTAGATTTGTTTGCTTTTTGGATCTAAATGTGCTTATCATTGGTATAACTTGAAGCAGTAAGCCGTGAAATTTGTTGACTGATTGCTTCTATGTCTCAACTCCGCATTAGTTTGTTATATCTGAACTCTTTTCAAGCGTTCGATTCGATTAAACTCAGATGGCCGCCTTTTACAAGTCCCCAGGTCATAGTCGTGCTAGTGACAAAGCCTTATCGGTTGTTTAGGTTGTCTGCTCGTAGGTGAATGCGTTCATGTTTCGTATTATGTACTTAAAGCCGATTTCGTAAATGCTTAACGCGGAATTAGTTTGCGTTTGTTAATGAAGAAGTGCCGACTATGTCCTTCAAACGGGAAGTTTAGTTGGCTGCGACTCAAGGCCCTTGGGATTCAAAGCGTACTTTGATGCATCTTGTATCACGTGTGACTTGACCAGTCTTGCTTTATCAGGGGTCAGCTCCAACTTGGGTGTACACACTCCAACAAAGGAGGGATCCGTTGATAAACTACGATACCCCGAGGTTCCAGTCAATGAGCCCTACCACGCTCTTGCGATCCCTCGAGGCATGGAAGAATCCTGTTCAGGCCAGTTCTTCAAAAGAACAAGCAAAGTTAGATAGTTTCAATTATGAACGAAGGCGAAGAGAAAAACAGAACGCATTCCGCCTCTGGCTAAAGGTATCGCAAAAGATGACCATCAGCCGCAACTTCTATAGGTGTGTTTAATTATATCCTTCATTTTGTGAACGAAGTTGCCTCTTCGATAGATTGGGCACTGTTATATCTAAGCTAAGGTTGATGAGCTAACTTCCAGTGATAGGAGTGTATACATTTTGTGCAATATTGATTCAAATGCAGCCAAAAATGGTTGAAATATTTGACTATGACTGACAGTTGTATGTCAAAATATTCAAATTCGGAGGGGTATTTTACTTGTACTGTTAAAAGCATCTTTACGTCTTTGATAAAATCAGTTTGAGACTGTTTGTGTAATGTCAGTTCTACATATCAGTTGCATTTTACAGACTTTGACAAAATGAGTAGGTATTTTGGACCAACTACTTCGTCAAAATAAGTGGTACTTACGTAGGTTCTTGTCAGTTTATTTCGGATTCTCGGAACGGTGCTTTTACTTACACAATCAAATTTAGCAATGACACAAAGAAAATACCTGATTAAACGGTATATACGAAATTAAATGTGTGGTTAAAATTTATATGAGGAAGTGTAGAAATTATTGTCTGTGCCATTTTTCGATCCATGGCATCAACTTGCGATTGTGCGATGCGCTGTTACTTTCTAGGCCTAAGTTTTTATTTTGAGCGCATTTTCCTCAACAATACGATTTAAATAAAGACTTAATTATAGGCTGAAGAACATGGACTAGGGAAAAACTCCAAGTACCAAACTTAATTGCCAACAACCAACTTTGAGGTCAAAAACACACAAGAGATAAACCAAATGTAGAGAAAAAGTTTATTGCGTAATGACCGGTTCATCATCTTAGTTGCATTGCCCACATTATGATTAACTTGGTCGAAAACGAAAAAGTTCACTTTGAAGTAATCACGCATTAAGTGTCGTTTCACCCGCCGGTTATTCTGCAGTTTTCGTTCCCCATTTCTTGGTATTTCAACTCGCAGCACTCATCTCCTGCTCCCGATATTCAAAAGCGTCTCCTTTTCCTCAAATTTCGGTCAACTGTTAAGACGAACCAAATTTGTTCAAACATAATCAAGTCTTCGCAAAATTCTAGTTTTGTTAATAGCTTACGTGCCTTTAAAACGTTAGCTAAAATCTTCAGTCAGGCATATTTGCGAGTTCTTTTCATTGATTCGATCACCACCCATTCAGTTCTATAAATAATTAAATTGTGGCACTAGTGACCTTTGACAAGTGAAAAACACCCAGCGCCTAAATGCGGATATTTTTGGTGACCGTCATCTAACTTGGTAGAGTTGGCTTTTTGAGTATTACCAATAGTTTTGTTACAGAGATACATATTCTTCAACTAAAAACTTATTTCTTAAGCGTTAGGCCTGACCATAGTCTGGTGTCAAGAGTATAGCTCAGCTTGCAATCCCATCACCCGTTCTGACGTGGTTTCTGGTGTGAAATATCAAGTAAGAAAGATGGCGAATTGGGAACGATGCGAGACAGGGTTGGGGAAACTATGTTCCATGTTGCTGTTGTTGTTTAAAAAACTCCATTTCGATCAAATCTCATGACATCTCATGGCTACCCTTGGCCGTTCAGTGTGGTTAACTTACCAGCATTTATCGTGTAGACACAAATAGCCTTAAAATGAGTTTTTGGCTGAGCTTAGTGCACCTGAAAACTTGCTCCATTTACGCGCACTCAAGCCACGTTTCATCGCCCTTCTCCATGATCTGTTTTGTTTACCTTCCTTTAAAAAATATGTTCTTCGTTTAGTAAAGGTCATAGTCTTAAGGCGAACTTTTAAAATGATTTATGACCCTGGAGTCTGTTCATTTGAATCGTGTACAATGCAGCTTTCAATTAGCTGGTTTTCGTGTCGTTTTTTTTCGAGGACCAAACTCGCACTGCGTGTGTTCCGTGCATTGAAGTCCTTCACAATAATTTCCAACCAGAGGCGTGCATTAATGGCCGTGGTGGGACATCGACACAGGGAGCATCTTCTCCACACAGCCTTTATCTGTTGGTCTGCCTGTCTGGACGGGAAGTCGCGAGAGGACTCAATCGCTTCCCGCAGTGACAAAAAACTCCTGGCGAAGGCACTGCGTGTCTGGGTTCGTCATTGCCAAGGCCTCCGCAAGGCTGCTGACAAAACGTGTGCCGTGGTGTTGCATTATCAAATGACCCTGCTTAGACGTTGCATGCAGTCGTGGATGGAATTCTATGCTAGGCGAAACGAATTAAAGGCGTTTGTAGTCCACTTTAAAGTGAGTTTAGTCACCGACAACTCGCAGTACCTATCAGCTCCTCTATTTACCATGTGGTGCTTTTGCGAACATTTTGGATGCTCCCACCGTTTTCCGGTGCATGCGTTCCAGTTTAGAATGCATGGACATGCACAAGCTACTTGCATCAGACCGAGATAAATCAACTTAACTGTTCCAGCCGATTCGGGTACTTTAGTTTAACCTAAAGTTGGTTCCTGTCTACTTGTATACCCAAAATATGATTTAATTTTATCGTACCAGGCACTCCATAACAGAAGACTTTACAACATTCTGTATGGAAATAGATGTCGCGTGTCTAGTTTTAGATGTCAAACAGGCACATCCACACGACGTTCCAGCGATTATACGCGGACATTCCGCATGCCCACAGAAATCTGCAAAACAATCTAGGTTCCATATATCAGAAGCTAATTCACGTCACTTTTTCTTTAGGAATCAAAGGATGCGAGACTTCTCCGTGCAACCTTTCGAGAATGGGTGTCAATGATTGCTAGACAAAGGAGGATTCACCGGTGCTATCTCAGTGCCTGCGCTCTCCGCCAGAAGCACATAATTCGTAGATTTTTCTCATGTTGGCACCAGTATACTTTGAAGAAAGCTGGTATTTTGGAACTAGCGGAAGCTAAGTGTCACCAATATAAAAAACGTCTGCTTGAGAAAGTGCGTCCTCCTCTAACCATCTTGGCTTTTTAACTTATCAATGTGGCATTGGCTGCAGCACGTTACGGTAAACCATAAGGGTGTGGCGCAAAAGCGTGATGTTTTACAATTGAACTTGATGAAAACGGTCAGTGTGTGTGCCATCATGCTTAATACTTGTCCGCGGTGTCTCACTACTTACAGACGTTGGTGGCATAATTTCGATATGGAGTTCCACATTTGTAAAATCTACTATTTTCGTCGAAGTTGTGCCGTCTAAATGCGCTCTAATGTTGTGCTTGTCTTTGAATGTCAATGATCTCAATGACTGGATAAGATCACTTTTTAACACATCCACGGAGGCAGACAATTGTTCTTTTTTATCCAAAATTGATTGCCTAGTGAGAAATTTGATAAACCTGTCCATTCGCACCTCTTCTTACACAGGCATTTCAGTGTTGGCTGTCGGCTATGCAAGACCTGAAAAAAGAAAGACTCGCAACAGAGGCGATTGTTAAACACCATCAGCACAGGACAGCGAGACCCCTTCTACGGCAGGTTTTCCAGCGATGGTGGGATGAGGTTCGAATCAGTCAACGCTATGAACTTTCCACCCAGGCTTCTCGGCAACGCATTTTGGCAACGGTGTTTCGTACATGGCGCCTCCGACTGGCTGAGGCACACGAAAGGGAGTTTCTCCTCGCCCAGGCTCATTGTTTTCGAAACATGAACCTTAAGGTGAGTGGTTTTCAGCTATTGAAATAGTAATGGTACTGATGCTTATTCATGCAAATTTGCATTGGCTATACCCGTTTTAAACATTTACCCGTACTTGTGTATTTTGCACATGTTTTTCTGGCTCAGCCTTAAGTCCCGCATGGGTTTTCCGGATTTTGATTTACCCACCCCATCTTAGGGCAGGTCTTAGGCCGCTACATTTTCGCCGAGGCGCTGCCCATTTGGTATCTTGGGGGGCTAAAGCTGGAGAACTTTTCTACACAGTGGTTTAACATTATTGCCACAGGCTAGATACTTCCAACTCAGCTTAGGTCTGTAACACGGCGGCCTGCCTTTTACTGTAGGTGGAGAATGAAATAACTCTTGGAAATCTAAATTCTTCCAGACAAAATTTCTTACTTGTGGTTCCATTTGCAAAAAAGACCAAGATAGGATTCGAACAAGTTAGCAGTCATAATGGATTATAGACGACTAGTTCCTTTAATCGCCTTTTCAATGTCGGATAGAATAGAGGAATAATGAAAGGTGAGAAAAGCTGAGCTCCGTAGTCCACAAACAAGCAATCAGTTTGGCTTCTACTGCTTCAGTAAACGTTTGTGAAGGGGGTGACGTGGCGTGCAGAATTGAATCCCTTTTGATGCAAAATTATTTAAACATGCACGTGAATTTGATCTGAATCACCAGTCGTCACAAAACAGAATTATTACCATTTTCCTAGTCTCAATCAAGCATGGTTTTGTGATTCGTTCTTAAAATTTGTATAAACCAGCTTGCGCCTTTGTTTTTTAAAAATAATGTTTTTTTAAGTGCCCTACGTTTGCGAATAAGTGCATAATAGAAATTTATTTAATTTGCCACTTCTTTAAGGCTAAGCGATAATAATCAGACTTCGACTGGCCAGTTCACTTAAACTTTATGGCTACTAGAACTCCCCGGATAAGTTGTGAAATGCTGAAAACAATCACCACTGCAAGACGCATCGGTTTATCCCGTGAGTTAACTTTGCACCATTTTTGGTTAGCTGAATTACTTTTTCCGATGGATCGAGGCACAGAAGGAGGTTCAGAGGATACGGTCCCTTGAGAAGGTTGCCCTTTGCCATTGGGCTCTCAACTTGCAGGCTAAAGCCTGGAGAGCCTGGATGGTTTACTTGGTGGAAGTGCGGTCCGCCCATACTCGTCGAAAGGACGCTTTCCAGCGGTTCTCTGATCGTCTGGCCAAATGCGCCACTGCGCTTTGGATGGGGGCTGCTTTCAGATTACGGCGGGGAAATTTTAATGAGATACCTCTTAACGTGAGTTTGGTGTCTTCATCGGCCGTACTTCACAAGTGTGGCTAGGTGTTTCACGTGATATTCACAGAGTACTTACCTGTTTACTTTATTGCTGTCCAAATAATCCTACCAGTTTTAAAGAAGAAAACGACAGCCCTTAGCATGTCTAAACTTGGGTGAAATTTGGCCTAGCAATCTGTATTACATATTATTCACGAATGCCATGCGATGGATCAGGTATTTCTTCGCTGTTTCTTCTTGATTATTTTAAAATAAATATTTTTGAAGTCATTAAGCAGACAATTGCAAAATATCTGTCTGCTTAATAAAATTTGTGTTGTGAAAGGTAGTGTTCTTTATTTTATCGAATTTTAAAGGAATGGGCTCAAATTCGTGCGTTTTGTATTTACTGATGTCGGTTTTGGCGACAGAGTTATAATTATTGCCTAGACACATTGTTTCGTCAGTTTACTAAATAGGAAATAAAATGTGTTCACTTTTATACCCGATGCTTGGAAATTTTTTTAGTGCGTAACGTCCTCAACCTCTTGCGGTCTTATTTAGCTTAATTAGGTGTAAATCAAAAGCCCTTAGTATTTATACTTTTGTTAAACGACACACCTCAATCCTTCGATTTGTGTTGCACAACTGGCAACACGAAGTACTACAATTCAGTTAATGCCCACTATGGTGAATTCTTATAAGATTGTGCGCATTAGAAAGTTAACCTATCAGGATTAAATTGAAAGCCTCATTACACTTTGAGAATTCAGCAAATAACAAGATCCTGAAAATTTCAAAACTTGTTTGCTCAATTCAGAGTTTGTTGATTATACTTTAAAGCAACTACCCGAATAACCATCCATTGGAAATGCTTCTGTAAACTTAAAAAAAAGAATCGACAGTGGACGCCTACACATAAGCACAGATTTTAAGACAAAGTTAGTAATCCCTTCCTCTTTGTGTGAGATAATCTCGAATCTGTTTAGTTTGCATTTTTTACGTTTTTCTAATGTTAAGTTTATAAACCCGTTTTCCAACAGGTATTAACTACAAACATAATAGCAGATGACGTAACTATTTTTGTCATTTCCAATTATCAAAAAGAGGAGCGAAATCGGAATGTTCTTTTTTTTTCAAGTATCCTGAGTTAATGTGCCATAAGCAGGCAATTCCTATTTGGATTTATTTTCTATTGCATAGTTGTTTCACTGCCTGCAATATATCTAATGAAACTCAAATTAGGTGTAAACAAGGCCAGACGTATGCTATAAGTGGTCGCGATTAGTCAAATTATGGAATTTCCTCCCATTCCATAACGGTAAACGTAGTTTATAATTTACAGTCTATGAGCCTTAATCAACACTAATTTAACTTCATTTTGGGTAATTTACGCAACTCTAAGTTGAAGTTGAAATCAAAAGGCATTTTTGTAGGTTTTCCAAACGGATCTATTTACCCTCGTCTTAAGATATTGTTTACCATTGTTTGATGAACCTGCATTTTTGTCTTTCGTACGGACTGCACGTTATATCGTTCTGTTTATAATAGTGGATTAATGAAACCTAGTTCGATTATGGTGCTGTTTTATGCGTCTGATAAATCTTCTGTATTAAATTTGTGTAATATTTTTGTAGACAAGGAATAGTTCAAGCCAGTTATACTCTTGAAGTAGACTTTTGATGATCATTCATAACAAAATGATACTTTGTAAAGAACATACAGGCTAAAGTAACGCAATATTGCAGTCAGTCATGATTGTATTTCCTGGCAAGGAAGCATTCACAAGTCCGGAGTATACCAAGTAGCGCTGAGAAACCGTTAACCCAGATAAACAATCGATAAATTGCCTTTTTACGTTCTAAAATTAAAATTAAGAACTATGGTCATTCGCCAAGGTTTCATATTTTAGGGCACTGTAGTGCTAAAATTCTGCTACTTGTGGTGTGGTGCGATATCGATGGAGAAGCCGCCTTTGATGTCAATCAGGTCGTTGGGGGGATTGGAGGCTAGAACCGTTGGTTGCACTTCAAAACAAATAACAACTTCTCTAGAATTTCAAAACCCGAGTCATTTCAAATCGACAGGTCCTGATCGGAGTGTTGGCCGACCCCAGCCTAAGGTACCTCAATTCCTGTCGGAGGCTCTAAGGGTTCAATGGTCATGTAACCAGGTAAGTGTACATCACAATATAATTTCCTAGGGGTCCTGCAGTTTACAAGACACAGATTCTTTTGTGACCCGTAAAGGGTTTAAACCTATTGAAACAGGAAGAATGGCTGCAAGTTCGCCAAAATCAGACTACCCATCGTCGGGTGACCGCAGAGGCAAGTTCTTATCCACAAGGCACAGTTTGTATCAGGTTTTTCATTTGCCATATTCGACAAGACCTCTTCGGATACGGCTGATAAATTGTCCGTTCTTTCCTCATTATGCACATTAGAACGGTAAAAAAATTTAAATGACTTCCTAATTTTAGAAAACTCAAATATCAAATTTTTTCACTGAAATCGCTTAAGCCGTCGGAACTTTCGTCAAATTCGTCATCCGAAATTACCGAAAAAGTAATACAGGTATTATAACTGTCCATGACGATGTATTCATTTTTTTTGCCTTTATGATTTACTTTGTTACACTTTCAGACGCAAAGCGAACTTGACAGTGTACGAAGACAGATCAGGGATATTCGACACCAATGTGCTTCATCTCTGTTGGAATTAAACAATATGTTGAGATAGGCATACAGAAATATTGTCAAATATTTAATTACTTTTCTCTGAACACATTTGTTTTAACGTAATAAGTATATTTAACAACGCCGGAAGTTGGACTTGAAAGCAAGCGTCTGTCGTTAATGGCGCCTATTCGTTTGTGATTTTCGCATGCTTGCACCGGTATTTCTCTTATTGCATTGCGTGCTCTTATTTTTCTGTTAAGTGCGTCATAATTGTTTCCTTATTTTACTATCACCATTGTGAATCGTTTTGATGAATAATCAACCCTTTCATGATATCTGGCATTAATAAAATGTTTGAGTTCGTATTTCTTTTTATGATTCTTGTGTTTCGTGCCTGTGTCTGCTAACTTTTTCTTTTTTAGGTGTGATTAGATGTCTGATCCTAACTCAGCAGTGGTCATTGGCTGTCAACCTGCTCGAAATATGATAGCATTTGAATACCCCCAGTCTATTGCAGAAAGACGATCTGAGCAGTTAGTCGATATGAAATGCACCGGAATGGCGTTGCCTAAAGATCAGTTCACCTCAAGTGATCTCGTATCGTTGTCTTGGCTGCAAAAGGGAGATATACTGCAAATAACACCCCTTGATAGTGAAGAAGATCCTTCACGCGATGATAGATACTGTACCAAAACCGTTACAGAGACCGGTTTTAAGCATCCTTATAAACTTTGTGATCAAAGCAGCACCCTCTCTAACTCCCTGTGTGGTAGGATTTCAATTCCTACTTCTGCCAGTCCTATTGTGACCACTTCATATGTCAACTCGGCTTACTCGAGTACCTATTGTCAGAGTTTAGCTAAGCCATGCTACAGTTACACACATCTCATATTTATGGCAATTGAGTCAACACCGGCTAAATGTATGACAGTCAACCAGATATACAACTGGTGTGAAACCAATTTCCCATTCTATAAGCATGCTGGGGCTGGTTGGAAGAATTCATTGCGCCACAACCTTTCAATTAACAAATCGTTCAAAAGACTTCCTCGAGATGGTCGCGTAAGTTTTTTTCTCTATTTGCTTAAGCTTCTTTTCCTGGTGACCTGCTTCTCCACTTAGATATGCTTATGCTTTTCCTAGGCTAGCAACCTTGAAAGTCTTGTGACATCTAAAGGGGCTCTGTTTTGTGAATCATCCGTCTTTTTTGACGAGACAAATTCTGACGAGGTGACTTAGATCCACTTCTGTGTTTCATTCTGAGCACTGCACTTTTTGTAACTAGCTACGCAGACCTAATTGCACTCTCAGATCATATTTTAAAAACCAATGTTTATGTCGGATACCACAGATTCACTAGCACATATTGAAGGATAAACCCTTCACCCACCCAATGTTGTCACGTAAACTGCATGTTGTCTTTGCTTTAGCTTTCTTTGTGTTAATCGATTATTTTTTTAGGGTCCTGGGCGTGGGGCTTATTGGGCGGTTGAACCACGCGAACGTCCTAATTTACTTGACGCTGTCAAACGCAACCCATGGAACGTGGGTCTTCCCCGCGAAAGGCCTATTGTAAGACCTCTGGCTGTCAATTCTATTCAGCCGTTCTCAGCAGTCAACTCCGATATTTCAAGAGTAAATTTCGCGGGATACGCATCTGAAGCTGTGTTGAAATCAAACGGAAGTGGCAGTTTGCTCATTTCTAGTAGCCACAGTGGTGCTAGCAGTCCCTTTAGTTTGATTGAAACTAACGAACTCCTAGTGGAGAGAAGCACGGAGACTTGTCAAGGTGGAATATCGCACCAGTTACAGTCCAACAGCCTCGCACCGTTGACACACAGCTATCTACCTATCGCAATTTCCGAAGGCGAGAACCCTGATTTACAGGAGTCAGTTCAGGCCAATGCAAATCCATTCGAACCCTGGCCGGCTGAAGAGGAGGAGAAATACCAGAATATGTTACGCCTTCTAGTTGAAGGGCGTGATGTTGAAAGTTCATTTGATGCATCTATTAGAGAAGGGTTAGTGTTTCAGTTAAAAATTGATTTTCGCGTCTGTGTTGTTCGCTTTATGTTACCACCGGTTTCTTCTCACCTATCATGTTATTAAACGGCTCTAAATTGATTAGATGAATAACGCGTTCTTTTTGCTTGTAGAAACTCCTCGAATTATAATTCTGCGATTGGTAAGTGTTGAAAGTTTGTTAAATGATACCATTACTTTTGTCCATTAATTCACTTTATTTATTGACCGTAGAAATTTAAGGTGAGGTAAGCATGAATGTCTGCACAGTGTTAACGGCAGACACAATAAAAGTGTTTCACCTTTTTAGTGGTAAAAAGATGTGGTCTTAAATAACTACGCTTCACTTTTGGATAATCGGCCACTCATGTTTTATCGCACTTGCTACTTCCTTATCTTCGACACTGGTCAAAATCAAAACGTGTGGTCACCTGCTTAATACCCAAAGGTGCACTTTGTGTATTAGCGTCTAGTTAATCGTTACTTTTTTCATCACCAATTAAACAGTTTACTATCTCTTAAATTACCAAATGTTACTTGCGATGCTCTTCAAATTTCAGACGTTGCTGTTAAACCAAAGAAGGAGGCGAAGCAACGAAGAAAGTCTTCATTGAATCCCACAACGGAAAGTGAGTAAAGAAATTTTCATTTTATTTTATCTATCCAATGAATATGCTTGCAATGCTACTTATATTTTTCACTGATTGGCTGAAATCATCAAATGCCTATTTCGACTAATGGTATTTTTTTTTCGCATTTCATATGATCGTGAGTGATGTGTGCCCACTGAAACATTTTGAGTGCTAGGTAGTCTCTAGAACAGTAGTAAAATTAAACTTCGTGTCCCGTATGTGTGTGGTTGGCAGTTTAAACCCATTTTCTAGCCTGTACTTAGAGCGTATTCTTAAAACTCAAGCTGTTAAAACGTCCATTTTCCACCCATAGGACTTTAGTCGTATTCTGTCGGTGCACTTGTAACTTGTAACCACCTATTTGAATTACACATAAACATTCGCTGTGCAGCATTGCTTTCATCAATCAAAAGTTGCAGTTAATGTATAACTATATTTTAGGAATAGGTTTTCATATCAAGATTATTCTTTTTTAATTTTATCCTTATTAGGTATGTGCAATGAGTGCAAGGAGAATGCTGCGTCCACTTGTCGTTCATGCAGTCTTAGACTGTTTTATCAACAACAGCGCCACTCCACAAACAAAATCCTGAAAATCACAACCCCAATGGATGCAGCGCGTGTATTAGCTAATTTAAACAAACTTGGTGCCTATGCGAGTGAATCTGCGCTTGATCAGCTATTGGAAGCCCTGGACGACGATCAAGAGGTACCGCCTACTAACCGCCAGAAAAGAACTCCACCGGTCTCCGCTGATGGCGAAGTGTTTATAACTCCCGCTCCTTACCACGATCACGAATACTCCCATTGTCAACCGCAGCTCCGTCGGCCTGATGAGACTCGTGTAGTAGAGGCCGTGAACACTCGGCTAAAGCAGGAGAGGCTCCACCTCTTGCGCGGGCTTGCAGATTCTCAGACAGGTTTCAATTTCGAATCGGAGGTCCTAAATTCATCAGCACCGGGAGAATCTATCGAGGATTTTGAACGTCCTACTGAAAGTTCCGGTGGAATGGAAGACGACGATTATGAAGATGCAGGTTCATGTCGGTTTTCCTCGCCAGATTATCAGAGACCTCCTAAGCAGCAAGTTCGACGAGTCAACGGTGGTTCCCGAAAACGCGGCGGGAAAAGCATTACCATCAGTGGCCTCATGTCAAAGGTAGTTTACTTCTGCCGACTAATCGACATCTGCCTATAGTGTCCCATGACATTTCGGTGTCTAAACGTAATTTCAATACCTGTTTTAGCCAAACTGGTTTCCTGAAAATAGTGATTCTATTGACCGGTTTTGTGCAGATCAGTTTTACGGTCAAACCGCCTGGTCGGGAACTGGTTTTCACTTATTCACTTTTGATTGCACATAACTTTTAATTGATTCATGATTTTTATACAATAAGGGTCTTTTAAATTGTAGGCGTGTAGACGATCATCACGTTGTATTCGGGCGCCCAAACGGCCTTACGAAGATTTCAGTGACGAAGCATGTGATCCCGTGGACTACATGGAGGAATTCGACGTTTACGCTGAAAAAGACTACCCCGATTCACCACCATACACGGGCCATTACCAGCGGCGATCAAGATTCGGTTCCTATTTCAGCTCCTCGGACTCGAAAAAAAATCAAAGTGATAAAAATGAGGCAGAAGTTTACGATAAGCGGTTTAGACGGCGGTTGCCATTCAACCCGCGCTCTTTTAGGCCCGATTTGACCAAAGTTAGTGGAGGTAAAACACAAATCCCGTCATCCGTTCACCTTCCACTTGTGCGCAAACGAAAACTTATCGATGAAAATAAATCTCGACGTGGCCGGCGGCGATTAAAAGAGGCGGGTGATTCTGACGAAGTGCTCTCCTCCGTTGATGATAACCAAATCCAATCAGAAGTCAATGGCCACCTATCAGCGGAACTCGACGTCAAGGAGGTGGAAATTACGTATGTGTCCGTCCTTTCTGTATTGAATGAGGCTGTTTCATTAGAATTTAACTTTACATCGCCTATGTTATAGTTGTTTTACTGTTTGATCTAGTTAAAAACACGCGCATCTCTTCATGATTTGGAAAATGGCCTTCTTACATGGGCTTTGTTAGTCGATATTAAAACAAAGATCGTCTTGTTTGTGGAGTCCTTTTGCAATCCATCTTACTTTCCCAGTCTGAACCATTGACTGCGTTTTGTGCTATTTTCTAGAATGCGGTATTTCATTGACATTTAAACACTGATTTTAACTAATTTTCTCATAGTTAAAATAGGTGACACTGATGTCCTGAAACCGTTTCTTTATGCACAGTTATCGCTAATTGGTATTTTTTAAAGTAACCTCTATTTATCATGTAAAGCGATTAAATGAAAACTGACTAATACGCTTAGAATACTGGCTTTAAAGCAGTATAATTTCTCAATCGTGGCTCCAAAATTAGTCCTTCATAGTTTTAACTTTTTGTCTAATCTGTCTTGGGACAATTAGTTTATTCTGTTGTATTAAGCTAGGATTGCAGCATTTGACTTTTAACCCTTGTTGTTGATTTGTTATTAAAATTTTATCACATGTATTTTCAAGTTGCCTGTGTTCATTACTAGCCGCCATAATTCGCTCACGTGCACAATAGTACAGGCTCCTTCTCTGTACGTCCTTATGTCGTTGGCGTAACATTTGTAGTTACAAATTCAAAGTTTACAAAAACGGTTAAGCCTGACCACATCTGTCTTAATTCCCCTCAGGAACTGCTAACCTTGTTCATCATTTTTTTCGTCGAAATATACAAGGAGGCGTTTTTCTTGAGCAAGCAAAATAGTTCTGTTGCTGTTTCGGATTTAATTGTCGTAGGTTTTGATAAATTTGGATTACCTTTATAAACTCCCGTCTTTCGCTGGTGTTCATTTTAATGTAGCTGGTTGGAACTTGTGTTACATAACAAGTTGAGCACTTTCATCAACAATGTCCCCAATAGTGAAGAGCATATTCAAATTACCGCCACAGTAGCGTGCCCTATGTATTGACAATTTTCCGCGTTTCTACCGAACCATACCCTTGTTGAGGTGTCATTGATTCACAGGATTGTGCAGTTTGCTTTAATAAGCTTCATAACGCATATCGGCCGGTATAATTATCTGAATCGTTAAGACAGAATTTGAGCACCATACTTCTATTCTACTGTCATTCAGTTTACATGTGAACTCTGGAGGTGTCGGCCTCAAATCATAATGTTTATTACTTTGCATTTGCTGGTACATCGACCTTGAATTTAAATGAAAAGCATATTTATTTTATTCAGAGCCGAGCGTTCGACCAATCAGGCCGCACAAATTCTGATGGGTATTAGCCAGATGAAAAATTTCAAGCTCCAGTCTGGTTACTTAAGCTTGGACTCGAGCCAGTCTTCCGAGGACTCCTTAGCTCCGTCAGTTTCCAGTTAGTCTGCCTCATCCACGCCCCCTGAAGTCAACTGGATTCTTGCCAAGAAATTCTGCCCATTTCCGACGTGCTGTACATGTATCCGCTTTTTTTCTACCCCATGGGCCTCCCACTTAGTTCTTTGGCAGCTCAAGTGAGACCTCTGTAACTTAATACCCCTTCTTCCTGTCAATACTATCCACAATGAAGGCAATCTATCAGATACTTTGCATTTGCCGGTCTGCTTGACTACGCGTCGGTAGAATCTGCCAGCTTTTGTAGTCACACTTTCTGTTCGGTCTCAATTGTATTTGTACGTGAAGCCATTCGCTGCGCATGGCCAGTTTGCATTGAATTGAGTAGCTCTTGCAAATCTTTCCACTCCATCACTCCAAACCAGACCCTTATCCATTTACTCCTCCAACATACCCTCAAGATGAACTCCGAATATCGCACACCTCACATGCAGCAACTACTGGGTTCTTATGCACACACATACACAGACCTACCGTTTTGAATACGATTTAAAAGAAAGTGAAAAGTAGAACCACGTTTGTCTGTATACCGCAACGCGGATGCTGATGATGTGCCCCTCTTGGTACTGCCTTGTACTTTGTTAATCTTCCTTTTCTTATTGTGCTTATTGATCACCCTAAGGCTGGTGATTACGAAATTTGATTAGTACACATTATATATAAATACATACTACCTGTTAGGCGGTCGCACTTTATTTGAGGCATCTAAAACGCGTATAGGATCCTGTCCGTTACTCAAAAGCTTTCGATTTCACAGAATTGAATCCGTGAACTATCCAGAGCCTCGTCGTAAATCCGAGGTGGCATTTTATCCAGCGCGCTACTTATTTATGAAACCGGTTCATAGGTGTAGGACTCGTAAATGATCAACCCTCAAATCGAATATTCCCATTCAGTTAGGATAGGGTTGATTTTTGCCGTCCACACGATTGCTTTCTCCACCTCCGCAACACGTTAGGTGAATGCTTACTCAATACTGGCGGGTATTGTTGATATTATCTTGGTGTCAGTTCAATATGACGAAACTAGATCGAGTTAGTGCTATTCATCCAAGTAGTGTTCACAACCTTTAATTGATAAACACCGGTTAGAGCCTACAAAACTCATGTGCACGAATGCTGGCTCTAAGGCGACGAGGTCAAGGTCACTTGCAAATAAGCCGATTAAAAAAATTCACAGATATTTAGTTACGACCGTATATCACAGATTGACGACCAGATAGGACCAGTAGCACGACATAATTCCGAAAACCAATGGTTTAAATAGTACCACGAGGCATGCCGGTGAACTGCTGCCAAACGGTGACTAGGCTGATCGACATGATGACTAAACCTAATTCATGGAATTACATATGATTACAAGGTGTCAAGACGAGAAACAGATGCGACCATTATGGGTCAAAATGAGATACTAACCGCCAATTTGCACAATTCGGCTACGTTCTCAAAAAATAAATTATCGAGTTCAAGGGACAATGATACAAATCCGATGAGGCTGACGCTTGCACCATCATTAATTGATGAATTCAAGTTATATTTGGTTATGTATAAGAGGGCATTTCTCCTCGGGCTGAGCAATATCAGTCAGAAGAGACACTTCAAACTGGACGGATGATTTGCAGCATTTATTGAAAATCGGCATTAATGAAGTCGAGTAGCTTTAGACAGCCTACCATCATGCTGGACCAAACTTCGCGTACGAAAGACTGGTAAAACTGGTTTTATTCGGTAAAATTTACACAAACAAAAGTAGGAGTTTAGCGGTCCTCACTGCGTGAAGACCACACCTTGAATGTCAGGTCATGCGACACCGAGGCAATGTGCTTCCTGTCGGGAGAGATGTCCGCATAGACACAGCGGCCAGAATGACCTTCCAACGTTCTAATAGGCGACCACAGTGGATGACCCCAGAGTTTCACAGACTTGTCAAAAGAACTCGTCACCAGGTAATTGTGGTTTTCGGCTGACACGAAAAAAAAACTGAAGCTTGAGCACGAGAAAATAGAGTTTACGAAGTGAAACGAAAATCCTCCTTGGTTGGTACTAAATTCAGGATTTTAAAAATCGCTAGACGACAAATAATTCAACTCCACGATTATATTTTGTTGACCTTTAGGTGTCAATAAAAATAAGAAATGTTCACCGACCTAGCTCTAGGGGAGTGCACCACAAAAGACAAGGTTTGTTGATTTTTCTAATGAAATGATCGTCTCCATTGGCTGCAGTGTTTGGTTTTTAGACATTTTTTGACAAATAGCCGACTCCCATAGAGAGGTTAGTTGTGCAATTTAAGATGACGTGCTTCAAGTTAAGTCCTGAACGTACGTTCAAATTTAACTGAGCTCACGACGCTAGTGTGCGCAGGAATGACATAAATAGTCTGCTGCTGTCTCAAGTCCCAAATGCGGACAGAATTGTCTGCAGAGCAGGAGGCGGCATGATATCCATTGGCAGCAATATCGACTCCTAGCAGCTCCTCTAAATGACCTTCAAAAAACATGATGCATCGACCTGTCCGCAGATCCCAGACACGTCCATAGCTGTCAAGACCTGCCGTAAGAGCCAGAGAGCCATCTGGGTGAAAGGCGATGTCGTATACGGGTTTCGAATGGCCCTCTTGATGAAGGATTTCAGTACACACTTCGAGATCCCAGAGGCGCCAGGACGAGTCGAAGCATGTAGTGCCAAGGAAACGACCTGATGGATGGAAGGCTATTCGCGAAACACGGTAAGGAGCATGGCCTTCAATATCCGCCAACGGCTCTTCATTGTCGAGACTCCAAAGCTTCACACTGCCATCCTAAATCAATTAAGCGAAACAGCTTAACGGATAATAACCTGATGGAAATGCAAATAACAATACCTATTGGTAAAATAGCATCCTTCTAGCAAGGGGTTATTAGTGACGAAAAACAACCCACGTGTCAGCTGGCGCTCAGTGCCTTCAATTCAAAAAAACTATATCGCGCATGGACTGAAGAGCTTCAGGTAAAACAAGATATTAATAATGGAAAATGTTAGTGTTAGAACCAGAAAAAGGCATTCAGTGAAATTAAATTTAAGTGGAAGGATGTGCAATTTAAGATAAATTGTGAATCTAAGTGAATGAGAAAGAATTTGACGACAGACACATTTGCCGGTTAAAAACAACAGGTATGTCCAACGGCTTAGATCTTGGAATGCACATTTTCAGTTGAAAGATCGTTGGCGAGTGCGACAATAATTAGGTGATGTTACAACTGTCTAGCTTAATCAGGTGTGACAGTCTGGCGTCACGTTTGGACAGTGCGCGCAACTGAAATCCGGATACGTGACAGGCACGGCGGTGAGACATTTATCTGAAGCAAGGTGCCAAGTCATAATGACAGCTTCTCAAAAATCATTGCAAAATATTCAGGGCATTGAAGAGAAACCGGAACAATCCAGAATCGGCACGAATCAACAGCTGACATGGCAGAAGAAACTAAAGATCCACAAGCAAGAAGCATAAAAGAGGCAATGGTAAGGATTTTTAAGGCCGCCTACCAAACCAGAGCTGGCTAGCGCAATTCGAAGGTCGGATTGGATGCGAGCTTGCGGGTGCCAGGCAACGGAACAAACGCCCGTCTGGTGTCCGCGAAGGTTGAGTTTAAGTTCGGACTCGGGTACCGACCAAAGACGGCAGAGGCCGCTCAGCGAGGAGGTGGCCAGCACCTGGCCATCAGGCGAGAACTTGCAACACGTCAATGGGCGTGTGTCACCCACTTGGCTACACACAAGCGAGGTCGTCTGAAAGTAGAAGCAAGCGAAATTCCTTGAGGAATGAAAAAAGTAGAAAACGGATATTGCTAAAGAAACATAAATGGCAAACTAAATTTGCATGTTAGATGAAAGACCGAGACCAATAATGGACACCTAAATTCCGTAATTTGGGATTTCCAAGCAAATGAAAAATACAAAAACATACAGAAATATGGCGCCATTTGGCCTCAGAAAATACTACATTCCATAGGCTATTCACTTGAAGCACATTGGACAAGGACGATCCCCAAGAAATCAAAAACATTATTTAACCAGTTTTAAAATTAAACCTTGTCCTTAAGTTTAATCATATTCAAGACCGCAAACAACCAGCAAGTCAATAATGTCAAATGATTATACTCACTGTGTGTACCATTAAAAAAGGAAAAATCCCTAAATTTAGCAGCAGAGTATCACGTCTGCAAAAAAACATCATTTTATTCAATATCTACACTAGAAAGAAAGGTGATTGTAGCAAGCTGATTTTAAGTCCAGAACTTGGTCCACTCTGACATCGAGCTTTACAACAAAGCAACGCACGTTTGCTTCCGATGGTCATTACTTTGCTTAATCAACACGTGCTGCATTGTGGCACGAATTTGTTTCCATGCCTAGCAAAGACCTCACACAAGCCGAATTTAAGCAACGTAGAAGTGTCCAATGGCCATGGAATGTGGCAGCGGCATGGACACAACGAGCCCACGGCCGCAATCAACAAACAGGAAGTTGAAGTTGGATGGCGAAACATCTTACAATTAACCGAGGGGACTACCGTTGAAGTCAAGTAAACGCTTCTTACATTCACACAAGCCTGGGGTTGGGAACACCACACATTGTTGTGGTCAGTGTTGTTGTTGGTTCACCGTATGGATAGCTCAGGCAGTAAACAGTTTCCTTTGCTTTCTCGGTTGCATGATTGGATACAAAGCGATCAAAACAGTACTGGAAAAAACTATATGAGGAGTTAAAACACAGGGAACAGAAACAGAAGCCATATTTTGGGTAAAACCATTAAATAACGGTCTACTCAGGCGTACCCGGAGGATTTTTAGGTATTCTTGATATCTGGCCTTTCGCTGGGGTTCAGGCATTGAGGCGTAGTACTCTCTAGCGCGGTCCAACCGCTGTTTTGCTCGAGGGAGAGAGTACTTTGCGATCCACATCCGTGCATCCGCTAAGCCATCCGGCCCTTGGTGGTACCACACTGTGCTGTTCTAGACAAAAGACATCGGTAGTAAATGGTACAAACGATCTCGCATAGGAGGAGTCTTACGTCTCTAGCAGTTAGTATGGCATTTTTTGTGTCCGATCGGTCAAGACTGGGGCGTTGTGCCGGTCCCCCTGTGACTGCCAGTAACATTCGCAAGCGTTCGCGCCTATCGGCTCCGTCTTCGCCAAATAAACCTACAGACACATTTTAAAAAGAAGTTGGCATTTTGGGACTTCTGGACGAAGTTAATTAATTCGGTATTATGACTGGCTATTGGCTACAAGGAGAGGTCGTCAACTGCAGTGTAATGAGTAGGGATGGCAACACTAAGCTCGAGAACCAATGCAATATGCCTAGCCAGAACTTAGCAAAAAGGAGAGGCTAAATTATTGCATATCGACTTCGAAGGTATGAGATTCAAATTTGGACCGGTAAAGAAAAGAGTAAGTGGACAAGTAAATGCGGAATGAAAGAAAAATAGTCAAAAGTTGACAACATGAAAATTTTCGTAACTTGACTCAATTTCAGGAAAGTGCAAAAAATGAGAACCCTTTAGTTCAACAAACGTTCATGAATCAAGTAGTGGTTGGCTGTTAAATAAGTGAAGCTGAGTAGATGCTTCCGAGATTTACGCGTATTTAGAGAGAAACCGGTGGTTGCCCGTGACATTTGATGTGGCCTCAAGCCAAAACATTTTAAAACGTCGCGTAATCTCGACTTTTCGAAGAGTTGCAACATTCGGTTCCAAGCAATGTAGACGCTATCGAAGTTGGCAGCTTCCTCCGTGAATAAAAACGCTTTGGCAGCAAATTTATCAAATTATACAAATAAGGCTCGGACATTAAGAGTATATAAAATTCTGCTTAAAATACATATTTCAAACGGTATTTGGTTGTGTAAAAACGACAAAATTGCAATTATGCATTAGAATTTTTGTTCCCAATGCGCGTATGATTTATTTCCACATATTTATGCGGTATTGCGACGATGGAGTCAACAACAAAGATGGACTGTTCACAACTAACTGACTAAAACACAAATTCGTAGCACACTGATGAATTCCTAAGTTGCATTCTCAATAACAAATGCCTCGAGTCCAAAGTGTGCAATACGGATAGGTTGGCGTGCATTGTTCATAAAGCAGAAGTTAGCAGCATCTTGTTAATGAAAAAATAGCGCCACGGCAAATTTAGTTAAGATCTAGCCTTGACTACTGCCATCGTTTGCAGTGCGGCCCTGAAACTGCAAATACGGTGTCAGGGAAACATTGCCTTGGGAAGCACGATATACGTCTACATATCACGGTAATTGGATTCGCTACCCTAGGGAACTGGAAAACCCTAGCAAGAATAAGCATTATAGTAGCAGAAGTTTGGTCCTAAATGGCATTTTTAGTGTGCATGGAGGTCCCTCTTTGTGGCGTTCCTCTAGGCCTTGTGCGTAAAAACCTAGATGTCTATCTAAGATCAAATAACAATTTCCGGTAGATATCCATTAACAGCGATATCAACTCCCAATAAGCATGCTGTGGGTTCATGAAAAAAGCCAACATTACACAAAAAACGTAGGAGAAATACATATTGATTACGAATTAGCTCATCGACCTGCACTACTATTGACCACACAGAAAACCAAAAAAAATATTTTGGGTCAATTGATAAAAGTGTGCCTGAAGAGATGGCTGCCAAAAGAGATACTAAAAAGTCGAATAATCCGCAAATCTCCACATGGCATCAAAATATTGTAACAACGAAGAAGAGTGCAGAAGCGCCTAGGCAATACAACACTTCGGACGTATGAAAAGAGGAAGGCCTCTTTACATAAACGTTCGACGCGTTTTTACCAACTTACAGATGGGCTCCCCGAGTTGTCGCAAGTAGTATTTTACCTCTGTGTCTTCTGTGGACACTTGAATTAACCGGGCCTAGAACAAAAACTGAAAGATGTAAGATGCGGGACCCCAATAAAGTTGGCCACAGGACATGGCAAAAAACACTACATTTGGGAAACGTCGAGGATGGGACTCTAAGAGCTTACGAAAAGTCCCATATAAAACCCAATTTTTTCCCTTTTTCATATCTTAGTTTTGCTTTGGTGAACTTAACCATCAGTTATCGACGGAACAAGTTTTTCAGCGCAACACTAGTCGCCCCTTCACCTCTGATTACCCGTATTAGTGTAAAGCAGCTTATAAAAAACCAACACCCATCACTTTGATTACTTGAGCAAACAAAACGTGCTTACTGCTTAGAGAACGATCAATGGAGGTGCATGATGACGAAATATAGTGCCAAACGTTAATGACTGATTCGGCCACTCTGCGACGCACTTGGAAGCAACATACGATGGACACACTGACAGAGAGGAGATGTAAAAGGCTCAAACGAGGCTGTTCTATGTCTGAATTGAACTTAGTATAGCAATATAGAAACATAAAAAACGTGTCGAATCGAGTCACCTTCTTTTTTAATTCTATCGTCTCGAGGGCAACCAATTCAGAATCAGGAAGCTTACTCTCCATTGGTAAGTACTGCCCACCTGTTAAGAGATCAAAATATAACTTAATAACGTTAGTTATTTTGTAAAAAACCTTAATTTTGGTGGCCGTGACGTTTATAACAGTGGGGACAATGATTATTCTGTCAACTGGAATTCCCCGGAAAACCTTTAATGAACATAAATTTGAAAGGTAGATCCCCGTAAATATCAGCAAGTGCACTTATTAGCCAACTGAGTAAAGAAATAATAGCTTCGGTTAATAAGTGAATTTCGATTGTCCCGGAGAAAGATGCTTTATGCCGATCATTAGTTGGCCAGGTGAACCTCGCTCAGTATCTCCAATACTCGCTAGCCATTAGAATGAGCTTCATTTAGTGACAAAGGTCCAACTCACACATCCCAAAACCTAGCCGCTGGCTACACACATGGATGGGCAGTTTAAGCAAAGGGACCTTCCTAAACAACGAAAATCATCTTACTTGAAACAATGTTGATATGGCCTAACTTCTTCGCCACGGCAAAGGGATCCTCAGTTGCTGCCATAACGAGTTGTCTACAAATGCAGTGCACAATATGTATGAAATTTGCGATCAGTGTATATCATGACACATGCATACGCACACACATTTCAAATAACAATAAGAACGAACAAAATGCGAGCATATGACGAATAAAGTAGAAAATGTGTATTTGCGGATTAATAAAAAATGAAAGTCCCAGAAGAGAATGAAGTACATGGTTTACAAAAGGAAACGGCAAGATTCTTGGGAATAGTGAAAAAGTACTGCACGTATACACCTAATGGCAAGAAGGCACTGAGAAGAGTAGCTGACTGCTATTCTGTCACCGTGTTTATATATATTCTTGGTTAATTAGCTAAACTATGACTTCGGATCGGCACCAGTGGTCTATAACTCCGCGGTGGGCTTTCCATGCACAGTAATGAAATACAGACGGTGAGAATAACCATCAACAGAAATCCAACGATGAACAATAGACGGTGTGAGATCAGCCGAATTTCATCCTAAAAGGCAAAAGATCCAGGCGATAATTGTAATAAGTAACTGTAAAAAGTGTCTGTTGGCTTGTTGAGGTTAAACCAGGAATAAGCCCACATTTTATTAAATTAATGCAAGTACTAAGGCAAACAGCCAACAATTTACTTATTGTTGTACACGTAGACCGCATACATGGTAAGTGAATGTTCAACCAAATACGACTAAAATCAGGTGTTGCCGACATGCGTGGAGGTATTTCCAGCATACAAATACTGTACACAAAACACAAACGTTAAAGTGTAATGTACATGTTAACATTTAGTCTTGTGGTAAAGAATAGCATAAGCATATTCAGTGATTTTTCGCTTCCCCTATATGGCGGTAGGCACTCGTCTTGAAGGTCATGCAAAGGCGCAAAGGGAAAAATAATTATAGGTTTTGAGAAGAGTGTATAGCATTGGGATGTACTAAAAATAGATATTAGTAAACTTACTGGTGAGATAGTAAGCAAAAGCGGCGTTTTTCCAAGAAGTTGAGGCTTCCAAACAATGTGGCCTTGGCAACGATGGCGATCAACGAATTGAAGCCGATTTTGCCACAATAGTCTGGCTGAATTATTTGATTTGATCTGTACCATTTGTTTACGCGTGCAAGGCTGTTGGCTACTAAAACACAAAAACCCAACGATGGAACAAGACGCAACTTATATGTACAAAACATATGTAGATATGTGAGCGTACTGGAAATGAGGAAACAACTTTGCAGGGGCTGCTAAAGAAAGGCAACTGATGAAGGTTCGCGTGTGGCAGCTTTGCCCTTGACAAGGTTTTTGGTTTTCAGTGAAATCAGGAACCAAGAGAGAGACGTTTATTTTTTCAAAAGCGTCGCTGCCTTTATTTGAAAAGAAGCATTTATGAAATATTATACCTGTAAACCCAAGATGACTGCCCCGCATTTGCGCAAAAAGAGGTTTACCAGCTGCCGATGATTCATAATCGTACATAATATTAAGTCGAAAGTTACGAGAAGATACATGCTTAGAGTTCTCGTATTTGGAATTATCGAGGTTGAGTACAAAGGCATCATTTATTTGAAAATGGTTTGATGAAGCTGTCCAAGGTTCGCTGCAAAACTCGAGTTCAGCAAAAGTGTTCAACATTTTCGCAGAATTCTAAGAAATTAGAAATAACAGAAGGCATACGGTTTTTACATTAGGATCGGGAACTGACACGGCCATTTGAAACTTTATTAGGGTACCAGTCAACAGTACCACACAAAGCACTAACACAACCAGAAATAGGAGAACTGGGGGTCGCGAAGTAATTTTGTGGAGTGCATCGCTCATCTAAAAAAAACTACGGCAAAAGTGCAAATAAATCCACGCAACGTGCAATAAAACAAGGCGCATCCTGAAGCATTTTATTTAAAAGGTTGAAATAAATTACACATACAAAAATTTCAGGCATGATATTAATTAGGAACGGGGGTCCAATTGTTGTATCCGACGAAAGCAGCAAAGCGTTATGCCGAAACCCCTTTCTTTGGTGGTAGTTTCAATGAGCACCACACGTTTGCCATATTTCTTTTCTCCATCTTGTTTAATAACCATATCCAAAACGTCACCAGGTCCCAAAAGCTGGCTTTTCTTTAAGAGCTGTTCGTCGTTGATGAAAAATGCCTGGTTATAAAAAGCTTTTTCAAATTCGAACTGAGACAAATTAAGGCCCTTTTTAACTACCTTGTCAAATCTTAAAGATGGGACATGAGTATTTATAGTTTTGCCTGACAAGAGAGTATCCTGTCCACGTAAAACATCTGTGGAAATTTCGTGGAAAGGCAAAAATAAAGTGTTTGAGAAAAAATGATAAAAATGAGAACGGGCTACTGAAGATGAAACACTGCGGTTAGATTGGAATCTTAAACAACCGAATGCTTCAAATGCAAGAATTACGCAAACCCGTTGACGAAGTCGCAACATAAAACATGGATTATATGGTTGTGCGTTGTGATGTGTGGTTTGGTGTGGCGTCGGATTAGGGCGCAGACATATTAGACCACCTGGCCTCAGCCAATCCTGTGTCTCTCTGCAATCCAATGG